CAGGCCATCAAGCACCAGTCCCATTAGAAAAGTAAATTAAAAAAAAAAAAAAAAAGGCAGCATGATTGATATAAATATACCTTTTAAACACTGTACAATGTTTTATCTGGATATTAATTATAATCATCTATGTATAACTAAATATGAAAAAATGTAAAAGCCTCTGGTAAGCAAAGAAATACAAATAAAATTAACACTATTATAACATTTTTTGACTTTCAAATTGACAAATATTATCTAACTCCAGTTCAGAGCAGCTGTAGTGAGAATGAAATCACACACATCAGTGATGACAATGTTAGGTGCTATCACGTCTCCAAAGAGAACCTGATATACCTGGGTCTTTATACTTTGATCTAGTAATCCAGTACTAGTAAATTTTCCTTAAAAAACAGTTAAAATACAAAGTTTTATGTCTGACAAAGTGCATCTTGTTTTTATTAAAAAAAAAATACAACAACAATCTAAATCCCTAATATGAGGGCAATGTGTACAAAACAAACATCCATAAAATTGAGTAATATTTAATTAGTATTAAATGACATTTAAGGAGCTTAAGTAATCAGGAACATGCTACATGTTGACAAAGATGCAGAAATTCCATATAGAGTATAATATTTACCTATGTAGAAATGCATAGAATAATGAAAACTAATGGGGAAATTTTTTGTTGTTTAAATTTGTTTAAATGAAATTATTTATTTTAAATCCATACTTGAATATTTTAAGTCAGTATCATATAATAAATAAAAAGGTAATATATAAAATTTCTCCTTAAAGTTAATGACTACATTTTTTTTTCCCTAGACAAATTTATTAACTCTCTCATGTCAAAAAATTCCAAGAAATGTCCATATTTGCTATGGATGCCAGAAATTTTCACAAAGAATATAAATGTTTAATAAAATACATACGTTTTGTGGGGACCAGAAGATGGCATAATAGCTAGGTTACTGGACTCCCATGTAGTTGACTGAGGTTTAAGTCCCAAACCGGTGGCTTCAACTCACGCCAGGTGCGTATACGTGCGTGCCCAAGATCACAAGAGGAGAATGGAGGAGAAGGGATTGTGGCGAGGCCATCACCCTTGGGGGGGGATTTCTCTATTTCTGTCTCTCTGTCTTTCTGGTGAGCGCATGCACCCTATAGCAAAAAACTCCCCCCCAAAAATAAATAAAATAAAATATATAATTTTTGAAACAAATTATTAAACTATTGGTAGAATGCTTTTTTTAAAAAAAATTTCTTTTAAAGACAAGATCTCATCATGCTGCTATCCTCCTACTCAGTCTCCTAGCTGGACAATAGGTATGTGTCACCATGCCCAGCTCTTTTTTAGACAGGATCTCAGGAGGCTACCCAGGCCAGCTGGGAGCTTGCATTCCTCCTGCTGTTGTCCCCCTCAGCCTCTGAAATTACAGGAACCTACCTCTAGCCAGACTTTAGGTTGGACCAAGAAATGATCCTGAACCTACCACGTGGTCCCAACCTATGGATCTCTTTAGCTGGACTGAACTCTGCTCAAACGAGTGTCCTGTACTTAAGTGCCTTTTAGTTATTACTAGATAGATGCTTCTTAAATTATTAAGTAATGATCTTTAAAATTTCTTGTTTTTCAAACCAAGAGATGAAGCACATCTACTCCACTAGGCCATCTTTCAGTGTTGGCAAATGCAAAAGTCACTCCATCTAGAAAGTAATGATCTGAAAGGATCTCAGTTACACCACTAAATCTTAATCAGCTCAAAATGCTCATTTGTGGCCTATTGATAAATATATGCTAGGTATTCCTACATCATTTAAGCCATGCATAATTGTCTTGCTGAAAAAAGCATAATTATGACTCTAGGACTTCCTGAACCAAGACAAAGTATATTCAGTTTTTAAGTCTTATTTTTATAGTAAAAAGTTACTTTAGAAAAAGGTGGTTAAAAACAATAAAATAAACACTAGCAGTGAGTAATTTTGATTCCTTTTGTATTTGAACTAAACCAGAATGACTAAAATACGCTAGGTACATCGATTACCAGTTTAGGCTGTGTTTTTCGGCATACGTCCAAATTCTGTAAGAATAGTTTTTTCAGAAACCCTACTGCCACTTTTAAAATTCCTTCCAAGACAAGATAGTCCCTCTGTTGGAAGACAGTAAAGCCTAAAAGAAATTTCCCTTGCTGTCAAAAGTTAACAGATCATTGTAATTTACACAAACTGGGCATCAAACAGTTAAACAGCAATGCTTAGGCTGAAGTATGGCTGCATTCCAGGGCCTGCAGGAAGCCTTTGGCACTCTTTAGGAACAGTGAGGAATGTTGTGTATGAGACAGGAAACAACCTTAGCGACAGGTGTGTTTGATTAATGAGGAGAGCAGGAGGGATACCATCCATATCTTGCCAACCCATGACAAACTAAGGGAGCTCTCCTCTCACCACCAGAGGAACAGAATGGCAAAGGGGGAGGGAGGGAGGGTGGCATTGGCAGGAAAAGAAGTCCAGCTCCAGTGACTACTGCAGGAGAAGAAAGGCTTATAACAAGGACTAGATATGCTTTATGGGCAAATAAATGGAAATCATTGAATCCTGTCTTGAGGACATCATGGCTAAAAGGCATAAAGGCTAAAGTCGGAGTATTTTCAAAATGCTATCTCCGAAACTGGATGAAAGTACAGTAACCAGCAATGCACAAAATGTGGGATAAAAAGAAAAATATCATAAGCAGAATGAGGACATAGAAGCAAAACAAAGATCAAGGAAGGGGATGTTTTCATAACTCTTAAATGAGAGAAATGGAAGATTCATTCATACGAATATTGGGATCACACCACAAATTAAGCCTATAAATCATATTCATAATTTGTGAAAAACATATACATCTACATAGAAATATATTTCTATAGGTATACATTTAAATACATTTGTAGAAATGTGTATGCATGCATATACACAGACTTAGATAAGCAAAAACATTGATTACCATTTTTTTTACTAAGAATTCCTCCAAAATCTTTGATGTAATAATAACTGTTTGAACATGGATTAATCAACTAATCTTCATTTACTTTCTTAGTGCCAGGCCAGACAGTGGACTTGACCTACAAATCTGGTCATCAAGGCCTTTTACTAACTGAACACTTAACATCGATTGACAGAGTCAAGGTAAGCCAAGGACTATAGTTAACTAGACATTTTGCTACATCAGATTTTCTTCCCTTCTGAAATACAAACTTTTAAAGAAATTACTACTGAGTAAAATAATTTGAACAATGACAGATCACCCAAATTCTACTGTCCACATTTAAGATAGAAGGTCACCTAAATCACCTAAGTGCTTGAAACCATGTGTATTCTGAAATTATTCAAACTATTGAAATTCCACACATGTTCTTGGTAATTTTCTGCATCATTCAAGAAATATCATGTCCGAATTATCTCCAAGATATAATTAACCAACACACAGAAAATGAAAGATTTCCCTGGAAAGTTTACTGTTCTGCTACCCAAGGGGCTTTCATTTCTTACTTTCTAATGTTGACAGGATCCTTTTCTACCCAAGGGGCATGCATTTCTTACTTTCTAATGTTGACAGGATCCTAATAATCACTATGGTCCAAATATATACATATGTATGCACAAATATACATATATTTATATGCAAATCATAAGATATTATTCTCCCCCACAGCATGCAGAAAATATAGCTGAAATGCATAAATTACAGGGATTTTTTTTTTAGTGGTACAGTTTGTTTTATTTCAATAAACTGTATTGTATTGATACCAAAACACTATAAATAATCATTATAGCTGTTACCACTTAAATGCTGAGAGAAATAAAAATGTATGTACCTCTAAATGTATCATAGTTAAAATTGTTCATCATAGCTAAAGAAGAAAAAAATCTGCTTAAGCTTACATTTGTAAAACTTTCATATGCTGTTAATTAGGTCACCGCAACCTAATGTCTTTTTAAAGTAAAAAATATTTTCTATGGTTTATTTTTTAAAAAATCATTTAATGCAAAAGCACCACCAAAAGGAAACATATGAACAAGCTGTAAAGCCTTCTTTATATGGGCACTAAAATCTACTCAACTCTTCCATTCAAATAAGTTACAAATTCAAAGACACTGGAGTAAAATTATTCTTAGTATTTTTGATTAATATAAAGCAATAGCATTATTTAAATTAGTTCCCAAAATGTTTACTAGAATATTGTTGTTATGTACTAAGACAACAGTGATCCATTAACCCTCTGCAGTCTCCCAAGATCCAAATTCTCTAATGGCTCCAAGGTGCTATTAATGCTTCTAAGTTATTTCTTTTAAAACTATATTATAAAATATTTGTCATCTGCCTTTTGGTTATTTATATCTGTCATCTCATAAAAAATATTATTCACATTAGTCACTGAAATCTGAGTATCTTTATTTCTTTCCACTGTTCCTAGAGAAGTGATATCAAATAACATCTCAAATAGAATTACGAAAAGTCTAGACATGGTATATTTGAACTGCCATTTTCCACTAGGCAACATTATTAATATACACAAAATTCTTAACAGTTTTTATAAAATAATATATTTCCTATATTATATAGATCTGCAACCAACCAAACTTCTTTCTTTTTTTAACTATCTGAGAGAGACTGGAAGAATTAAAGATGATGGAAATAGTGAATTGCAACTCTTATTTAGACTTTACACATGAAAAATAAACAGTCCTCCAAAGCTATAATTCATGAAGATCTGAGATCATTGCTATTTTAATTTGTCAGTTTATTTTGTCTTCCTACTTGTGTAATCACCCAGAAATGTACAAATAACATGGACTCTTAAAAAGAAAGTAAAATTGTATAATAAGTAACTGAAACTCTTCTATAATACCAATATTGATTTGTTTTCTTCTCAATACATGTATTTTTTTTTTTTGCTCAGAAATTTGTCCACCAAAATATTTCAGAAAAAAAAAATGTAATCACACCAATATGTAATGTATCTATTGCTTACCTCAGTCAAATGTGGTGTAGGGTTAAATCCACAGAGATTACACACTTGCTTCTTGCATTCAGTGCAAGTATTGAAGTTAGGAGGATCCTGAGAACCTATGTTGAGTTCAGTCTTGCAGAGAGGACAGGTTAATTCTAGTTTAGGAGTTTTCTCTGGTTTGAGAGGAAGGTCAGTCTTTTGAGGCTCAGCTGCTAAAGGTTTGCTATCCTTAACAGGTGGGACCTTCATTTCTGCTTCGGTTCTTTTTACTGTTGGAGCTTGCTCAACTTTGGGCTCTAATTTTTCAGTTACTGGAGCTTTTGTTTCTTTTTTCATAGGCATAACCTTTGCAGGTGCTGCTGATGGACCCTGACCTGTGGATTTAGGTGGCCCCTGAGAAGCAGGTGGCTGTGAAGGCAGAGGGGCTTGTTTTGTTGAGGCCCCTGGCCCACTTTGAGAATGTGGTCCAGGCTGCCCTGCTGTAGAGATTAAATTTGATGCCTGGCTGAAGATAGATGCTCCAAACCCAAAGAGTTTCCCAGTCACTGTTTCTTGAGGAGTTGTAGGCTGTGACTTAGGGGCATCAGTAATACTTCCCAGGTTCAGACTGAAACGTCTGGACTGCTCCTGAGGCTTCGTGGGCTGTTGAGATGCGGGGGCAGTTTGGCCACTGGTAAGTCGTGGGCCAGGGGGTGTTGGTGACCCTTTTGGCATTGGCTTGGCATCTGGTTTAGGGCTCATTTTGGATTGTGCTTTCTTAGGTTCTTCCTTTTTTTGAATTGGATCAACTTGTTTTTGCACTTTGCTCTCTGAACTGGGTTCAGGTTGTGAAATAATTTTTGAGTCTGATGCAGGTCGGGGTATGGCTTTAGAATCAAATGGGGTGACTTTTTCTCCTGTTGGTGGGAAACTTTGTGAGGGTTTGGCAGAGTCTGTTTTTAGAGGAGGGGTTGTTTTGTCTTGAACCTGTGATTGTACCTTGGGGCTCGGAATGTCAGGTTTTGTTGCTGATGATGAAGATACAGTGTCTGTAGGTGGCTTTACTGTCTTGGGCTGCTTTGGTTTCTCATCAGCAACAGGGGGCTTGGCCTGCTCAGATGGGACAGAAGGCTCTTTGGGAGGAGCTGGCTTGGGTGAGGATTCTGCCACAGGAGGCTGCTTGGCTGTGTGTGTGGGAGAACCATGAAGAGTTGGTTGTTTCACTAGTGGTGGTGGCTTTTTAGACTCAGGTGCTTTAGAGAGATCCTGTTTGAGTGAAGTATCCTTCTTTGGGGAACTCTGCTGTGCCTGTTGGGAAGATTTACTCACTGCTGATGTAGGAATAGCAGAAGCAGTCTTCGGTTTGGGCTGGGGTGATGATGGAACTGGAGCCAGATCACCTCCTAGAGCTCTTTGCATCTGACAGTTCAAACAGAGCCATTCTTTGATCTAGAAATAAAATTGAACAATGGTCACTGGGATGATCACACTGTAAAAACACAAAAATTGTTTCAAAACACAATGGTACTATTTGAAGCTATATCTCATCATTCAAATCATAAAATAGAGACCAAATTATTTTAATGTATATTAACTTTAAAATTTTAATTATGTTACAATATAATTAATGAATCCCAGAGACCAAAGTATCCATGCTTTAAGGAAAATAAAAAGAAACAAAAATTGGGGCCAGCAGGTGGCGTACTGGTTATGCCACTGGACTCACACATGGCCAACCAGTTTGAGTATTGGACACGGGAGCTTCAAAATCACACCAGGCATGGTAACCAGCAGTTAGCGTAATGGCTATGTCGCTGGACTCCCACGTAGTTGACCGTGGTTCGCGTCCCGGACCCGGTGGCTTAAAACTCATGCCGGGCGCGTGTGCGTGCGTGCCCAAGATCCCGAGAGGAGAATGGAGGAGAAGGGATTGCGGTGTGGCCATCCCCCCTGGGGGGGTATTTCTCACTTTCTCTCTCTATGTCTCTCTCTGTCTGGCAAGTGCACGCACCCTGTAGCAAAAACCTCTCCAAAAAAATTAATAAATAAATAAATAATGACATTCCTTCAAATCATCATCACAACCAGCATGATTTAAGAGAGAAAATACGATTTCCTTTAAATTTCATGAACATATTTAAATCAGTAGTGCAAGTCATGGTATGTACATGGTAATAAAAATGAGTGTCCAAGAAAGATACATGTGTGTGTAAATATATAAATATAGATAGATATAGATATGTGTGTGTGCATGTGTACACACATATGCACATACATGCAATTGCAGCTGCTCTTTTCATATTGCATATTGTGAAAAGAAGATATTAAATTTGATACCCATTTTATATGATAATGTACTTCTGTCTGAGACTAGCAAATGGCATGGTAGTTAAGGTCCTGGGTCAAGTCCAGACCCAGTGGTTTGAAAATCAAGCAAGATGCACATGTGTGCATATGTGCCCAAAATCCCAAGAGGAGAATAGAGAAGACGAGATTGCAGCATGGCCATCTACACTGGGGGATGATTTCCCACTCCCCCTACCTCCAGCAAGCACATGTGCCCTGTGGCCAAAAATTAAAATGAAAATTAAATTTAAAAAGTACTTATGTTTAACATTTTTTATTATCCCTAAACAATGTTTGCTTATTACAAAACATTTTAGATATTTTTTAAAAACATATTTACTTCCTGCAATATTTTATTTTTTATTTATTTATTTATTTTTTTACATTTAATCACTGTACATTTTTTACAGTGTACAACATGGGTTTTCCAGCATAAATATAGTGCATATCAGTCAAGCCAAAGAGATTATTATATACATTGTCATTAGTAAATGACTTCAATTGTGTGTCTATTTTTTTTAAGAGAGGATTTTGCTATAGGGCACATGCACTCACCAGAAAGAGATAGACAAAGAAACAGAAAGTGAGAAATCATTCCCCAGGAGAAAGGCCATGCCACAATCCCCTCTCCTCCACTCTCCTCTTGGGATTTTGGGAATACATGCAAGTGTGCCTGACATGAGTTTAAACCACAGGGTCTGGAACTATAACCACAGTTGACTATGTGAGAGTCCAGTGATGTAACCATTATGCCATCTGTTGGTCCCCATTTGTGTGTCTATTAAATGTGTTGTTTGTTTTTACCACACATACCCCCATACTGTCTCTTATATCTACTGTTGCCCTTCCTGCTATTAAACCTTCCAATCTTTCAGTTTCTGCTTTAGAGCACATTCAGTGATACATATGGAGTAGAGACACACAATGCCTGTTTTTCATAGTCTGATTTGCTTTACTTAGCATTAAATCTCCCATATTCATCTACTTTGTATCAAAAGCCAGGACCTCATTGTTTTTTTTATGGCTGAGTAGCATTCCATAGAGTACATGTGCCACATTTTTTCAATCCACTGTTGTGTTCTTGGACATTTGAGTTCATTCTGGTCCTAGCAATTGCAAATAAAGCTGCAGTAACCATGGACATGCAAATGTTTTTCCAACTGAGAGTTTTCCTATCCTCTGGGTAGATACCTAAGAATGGAATTCCTGGGGATATGGTAGTTCTATTTATAGGTTTCTGAGGAGCCACAATACCATTCTCTATAGTGGTTGTACTAATTTAAATTCCTGCCAACAGTGTGGATATTATAATTAAAATGTCAAATTTTACAATGATCCAATCCTCTCCACTTGAATAAGTTTGCTCAATGTAACCCATATCCACAGTCCAGCACTTAAATTCTTTGTACACAATGCTATATAGTGAAAAAATTAATACTACTGGCCCTGTGGCCTAGTGATTAAAAATGCTGATCCCACATGGCTGATCAAACAGTTCAAATCCCAGTCTCAGTGGCTTGAAAAACACACCAGAAATGTGTGCATGCATACCCCAAATCCTGACAGGATGGAGAAATGAAGAAGAGCTTGTGGTGTGACTATGCCCCATTGGGAGGTGCTTTCTCTCTTTCCATCTCTCTCTGTGTCTCCCTCTGGCAAGTATACACATCCTTTAGTAAATGATAAATAAATAAATAAACAGTGCAGAGATACCAGAAGAATTTCCCACAGTACAAAACTATAAAGTGGTAGGTGGGCAATTAACTTTTTCAAGTAATTGTCTTTTAAAGAAAATTGAATTAATTCCTAAACATCTTAAAACTTCTTTGAAATTTTTAAAACTTATGTACCAGTATAACAAAGCTTGTTTTGTAATCTCATGGAAAGCAAACTTACATCTGTAAAAGATTAAAAGAGATTTCAGCTCAAACAGAAATGTTATATTCCTGTTTAAAAAGTTAATCAAAAATAAAATTACGGTACTTGTTAAATATGGGTGGCAGGTACTTGGGTTTTCACTATATTTCTTCTTAATATGGGTGTCTAAGCATCTGCATACTCATTATACTTTTATCTTTACCTTTCCATATGTCTGAAGCATTCACAAAATAAATGACTTTTATACATATCTTTTTAAAGTACCAAACAATCAAGAAATGGCTACTTCCTCAGGCACTAAAGGCAGACTATGTTGTATATATATTTTTTTCTAAAAATAATCATTTCATTTTATCACCTTCTTGATGAAAGGAAATAAATCTTTAAATATGTACCTACCCTTCACTCATAATATCTATTATTAATTCTAATTCTTCTGTTCTACTATTTTTTTATTACTTTCTTCTGCAGCCTTAAATGATCATCTCATAAACATGAAGCCAGACAAGATTTAAAAAAGAAAAATATAATTTAAAGCAAAATTATATTTACATTTACTGTCACTGACTTTTTTCTTCTTTTTTTTTTCCTATAAGGTGCATGTGCTCACCAGAAAGAGACAAATAGAAAAAAAAAAAAAAAAGGAAAGTGAGAACTTACACCCCGGAGGGATGGCCACATCACAGTTTCTTCTCCACTCTCTTCTTGGAATTTTGGACATGTAAGCTCCCATGCCTAACATGAATCCCAAGCTGCTGGATCCAGGGCTTGAACCACAAAACTAGCCATGTGGAATATGGTGTCTTAACTTTCATGCCACCTACTGGCCTAATCACTGATTTTTTTCTACAAAATATTTATTATATAAAATCTGTCTCTACATTAAAAATTTAAATTACAAACTTCTAGGGTTAGTGACTTCATTAGCATTAATCGCTCTTATTCTTTTTAACAAATGTCATAGTCAAAGTAGATGTTGGGAACCAGCAGTTTGCATAATGGCTATGTTGCTGGACTCCCACGTAGTCAACCGCGGTTTGAGTCCTGGACCTGGTTGCTTAAAACTCACGCCGGGCGCGAGTGCGTGCGTGCCCAAGATCCCGAGAGGAGAATGGAGGAGAAGGGATTGCAGCGTGACCATCCCCCCTGGGGGGTGATTTCTCACTTTCTGTCTCTATGTTTTTTCCCCCCCCCCCCCCAAAAAAAAAAAAAAACAAAAACAAAGTAGATGTAAAATTTTATCACTCTTCATTCCTTTATTCAGATATTTATTCAGCATATGACTGAATAAAAGGTGCAAAAATCCCTATCTTGATGGAAGCTCCATTATAGTGGAAGCATGAGATAAGAAACAAATAAGGTAATGCATAATACAATTGTGGGGTTATTACAGATATGTAATATGTACCTGATGATATTGTGATGATTCCTTCTTTCTTTTCTTTCTTGCTAACTTCTCTCTTTTTTTCCCTTGAAAGCTTTCTATGTATTTCATTTTATCAGTGAAATTCTAAGTTTCTTTGCCAAGTGCACATTGGAGCTTCATAGATAGCCAGCTAGTAGGCCCTACCTTGCTTCTTGTTTGGACAACTGCACAACTGGAACACTGCCATGACAGCTCTAATGTATGATGTACATCAACACTGGGAAATACATTTTATGCTGTCCTAATTCCAAACTGAAATAAGCTGTGGTTTATACAAGTATATTTAATAGTACTTTGAATGTAATATAAATACACTTTTATGCTTTTATATTTTCCTCACCTAAACAGAAAAGCAAAGTTAGGAAAAAGAAGGTGGTGGAACATGAGTCCCTATCTCTAAATAGTGAGAATTCTGCCTGTCTCTTTCTATACTCTATTCTTGAACAGATCCCCTGTCCTATATTTCATCATTTTAATGGTCACATTTTTTTCTTAACTTTGATAAACAGCACATTAAACATATTTGATCCTTTGGTGTTCAACCTCCCTGCTAGAATATAAGTTGAAATCATTATCTCTAGCTATCACAATATGAAAAGCTTTTTATCCTCTTAGGATTGTTTTTTTCAGAAAGAGCCTCCTTTTTTATTTAATTCTAATAGCCAAATCTGTTGAAAATAGAAATGATTTATATCTCAGCATTTAAGTTTTGTACTGAAAACAGCAGCATCTCCATTAACCTGATTCCAATGATACCTCCTCCACTCCCCAGAAACACTGTCCTGTATACTGAGCAACC